GGGGGGGGGGGGGGGGGGGGGGGGGGGGGGGGGGGGGGGGGGGGGGGGGGGGGGGGGGGGGGGCACGCACCTGACGTTCGAGCTCCTCCAGCTTTACCCTTTCGTCCGCTGCGTGCTGGTCCAGGCACAGGACAGCTCCCGTCTTTGCACGAAGAAGGATGAATTTTCGTCCCGCCTGATAGTCGAGGATATACACATCAGTGTCAAGACACACACGGCGACCATATCGGGACAACATAAAACGGTGAAGCATGCGAGGGAGAGAGAGAGAAGGAGGAGAGAGTGTGTGTTTGGTCAAACGAAAGAAGAACAGGTGGGACGATCGCCTGTAAGTGCTCACTCGATCGAAGAGGTGTTGCTATTCTTACGCGCGGCGAAACCGGGGGAAAACTGGCCAAGCACCTTGAGGGCAAGCGCACATCAACTCCTCCTCTTTCCTTCCGACAGTCCGGTTATTTGCCGCGTACACCGACATCCATCCTGGCGACTCTCCTCAACGTCTCCCTGCTTCCCGCATCTTACACACGCGGGGCTTCCCATCCTGCTTGCTCTTCTCCCATAAACCACTGCTGGTGGACACCGCCGCCCTTGCTCGACAACCTTTCAGCTTTTCTCCCAGAGTCCTGCTAGTTGTCCTATACACAAGGGCGTTTCACTTTTCAGCACTGCCCTTGTATGTGACGTGACTTAAGATAACACACCCCTGGTCTGGTTTTCAAAGCTCGACTACGGCACGAAGAAGATTATGCCACGGTCAAACGATGCGTTTCAGCTGTCCACGAGAGGGTGCCAACGCTGCCATTTTCGGGACCGTCATCGTTATGTTGTACTCGATCGAGCTTGGAATATCACCCCCAGGGCTGCAGCCTGTCGCGTTTCAATCTGCACGGTTCTCGACACCCTGCATTTTCCTTGATTCCCAGTGCCACAGCCCTCTCTGCGTCACTTTCCCTTTGCCCTTCAAAACTCCATCATGCTCCCCTCGGTTGAGTAGCAGGTGCGATTCCTACGACACCGCCGGAAGGTCGGCATCCTCGCGCATGTCCCCGTGAACCGCTGAGCCAACGGCACATCCCAGTGCACTTCCTCGCGCGTGGCTCTTGCGCTTTTGTTTACTTCATGCCCTGGTGAAAACACCCTCGAGCGCTTAGCAACATGATACAGCACAAGTTGCCGTGAAGCAGCTACCGCAACAGATCGACAATAAAAAATTGTTGTGGAGAAGCCCCCCTCCCCTCCCCTCCCCTCCCCTCTCTCAGGAAGTATACGAGGGCGACAGCAGGGTGTGGAAGGAAAACGCAGAGTGGGGGCCAGGGGGCGGG